AGCGAAGGTAGCATGCGCGTGTTCTTCGGCTGTTGAAGAGACCGTCCTTCCGAGATGATTGCTTCTTGAGATTGATTTTTCAAGTGGGTCGCTATTCTGGGTGGTTGTAGGTTTCTTCCTTTGAAGGATTAGGATCCAACACCCTCGGTTAGGCTGCCCTTGTTCCGTGGATGTGAAGGAATCCTACCGACTGCGCCAATTTGTTAAATCACTTGAAGCACTAAAGACTTTTTAAAAACAATTTATTTGAATGAGCTACAATTTGAATGGAATTAGTACAATAGAAAATTAGATGTTGACGAGAGCTTGGCTTGAGTAGAACTGATTCTTCGCAGTGCAACGATGTAGCATCTAAGTTCTGAGGATGTCGAGTCAGCAGACACGTGTGTGTCTTCGGTTACTACTTGGCCTTGAAGTCATCAGTAATGTGAAACTCCTGAGATGGTACTTGCACAAGTATTCCTGGTATATGATGGGAATATTCATATAACACGTACTCGACTTATTTATCGTTATTGATTATTGGTCGATAACACAAATGGATTGTGAGAGGAAAAATAAAGGTGCGAAAGAATTATTCATGTAGTTACCTTCCAGAGGATCAGAAAACTCCGAATCATCTTCTGCTTCTTCTTCAATGTCTGTAACGGCCATGTTATTGCAGCTATTTTCACAATTCAGACACATACTGGAACAAATAAGGCCAGCTTTTTGGGACCCACAGTTGGTCTGACAGGTTTTCATGCATTTGTAGGATATTATAGATTCAAAATTGCTTCTGGTGCTGGTGATCATAAAATACAAAAAAGCACAAAAAATCATGTTTCGAATGGTTTCAGCTTCCAACTCGCGAAGGAACTGGTGCATTCCCAATGGAATTGAAAATAAGTAATGGAACCATTCCGATTAATCTTAGGACTATTTTTCAGAGAATCACAATTGCTAAACAATCTGACGAAGAACTCGAAGAAGTTCTCAATATATGAACTGTGCACGTATCCGTTGCCTCTTTTTGATGACTATGGAATGAGAAAAGGAACCAAGTCTGCCTTATACAAAGCATTTACACCAACTGAACAGACAAATTTTCAAGGGTGTGTGCACGTCTTAGATGGAGGATATTTGCTCCACGACGTGGTGTGGACCAGGGGTCAATCATATGTTCATCAATTTGTGGAAGTTATGTTGCATTTGTTGAGTCCAAGTACAAAGACAGTGCTGCAGTCGTATTCGATGGTTACCGTCAAGATGGTACTGAACATGCTGAGGGAACAAGAAGATCACCCAAACAGATATCAGTTGATTCCATGTTTGACGAAACAATGATCGCGACAGTGCCACAAGAAAAATTCCTTGGTAATGTGAAGAACAAAATCCGTCCCATTTCAATATTAAAGAAGAAATTTTCGGCAGCCTGGATTCACACAAATTAGGCACAAGAGGACGCAGATACACTTATTGTCACCACTGCAATGGATCCCGCACCACAGCATAATTCTGTAGTTATTGTGGGTGAAGATGTATAGATTCGATGGTTATCATGATTGGTCGTTGTCGGGGTGTACATTCGAATGTATACTTTTCAAAGCCAAGTAGAGGAGCAGTTTCGGAACTCATATTTTCAACTGACTGTGCACCAGAGCATCCTACAGCAAATGCTGATACTGTTATCGATGCTGGCATCACCATTTTCACTGCAGTGTATGAAATTAACGAGAAGGAAGATACGTCCATGAACGAATTGGGGTATACATGCTATACCTTGGGTCTGCAAATAAAACAACAGCCCATTTGGCATCCTCACCCCATACCACCGAACATAAACGTCTCAGTTTATGTTCGGTGCCCATATACGGAAGCTGCAGCATAACAGCATTCTTTGAGAGTATAATTTCAAGTGGAACAGTGGCTCGGAACCACAAAAGATCCCGAGCAATGGGGTTGAAAAAAAACCAAGCCAGTACCAACGCCACAGTCACCAGCACCAGAAGCAGTTTTGCATCCAACTGTGGGTCCCGAAAGCGGGCCTTATTTGTTCCAGTATGTGTCTGAATTGTGAGAATTGCTGCAATAACATGGCCGTTACAGACATTGAAGAAGAAGCAGAGGATGATTCGGAGTTTTCTGATCCTCTGGAAGGTAGGTATACTTTATCCAAAAACAATTGCAGAATCTTGTGCCGCACCTGCAGTCACTTCAAAGGAAACTTCAAACACGCCGACGCCGCGTAGTGCGGGATATTCTGCAATTGATATTGGATATACTTTAACTACATGAATAATTCTTTCGCACTTTCATTCTTCCTCCCACAATTCATTTGTGTTATCGACCAATAATCAGTAACGATAAATAAGTCGAGTACGGATAAAAATGTCGAAGACATCCTCAATAGGTATTGCTTTTATATCTAATCGATATATTGAATTATTGAATTAAGTCAATGATTATTTGTAACAGGCGTAGACAAACTTGGAAGTTGCCCTGAAGAAGCCACGGAGTCTGTGTCTAGGAGGAGAATTTCATTAGACAGTGATATGTTTATCTTTCTGGAATAAAAACTATGAATTATTTGAATTTTTAATTTTTTTCAAAAAATCAATGATTCCACTAAAACTTCAACACTCTTTTGCATGGAAACCAAATGACATACCCCAAAAAGTATCATGATACATGAATTGTAGATAATTTTTCCCTCTTGATTTTACTACTCGTCAATTTTTTGTGTGAACGGCTTCCTTTGCGAGTTGAAAGCTGAAAATCATCAAAAAACATAATTTTGTGTGCTCTTCTGGTATTTTCTGATATTTGCCGATGAAATTTTTGGTGGATAACTTCAGATTCGTGTTGAGCACACCAAGAAATATAGAAAAAGCCAATGAAAACAATTACACCAGAACTTTCCACCCTGAAATACCGTTTGATTAGACTAAAACACATATAGAGAGAAACTCGAAGTCATTACCACACTATAGTTCATAAAATGAACGAAAATGGTAGATAACGAGAGAAAAACAGCCACTTTCCTTGCTATATGCCACGCAGAACATTGGATTACATCCTCCCGAAATCTATGCAATAATTCGTATAGTGTTTCCTTCCTGAAAGCCGAGGTGTGCCTAAGTGGTTCAGGAACGCGTGACTATACTTGCAGACCATTTTCGATCTGTTGGGTCTCATCATCAGTACGGGGTTGTCCCAGATATTTTGGTCGGGTTCACACCAGATAGCGGTCATATTTAACCAAACTCATGGGAAATATGTTTTTTAAGTTTCATCTGAAACTTTGTGGACATTCAATATCAGATATGTTATGGTTGAAAACGAATTCAAGTTTTTAATGTTGATGACAGTTTAGTAATAGATCTCAGTTATTACCAACAAGTAGAATCAACTTCTATTGTCAAAATAAAGTGCGTCATAATTAACTAAACTCATCGGAAATATAGTTTTTCAAGTTTCATTTGAAGCTATGTAGACATGTGATATCAGATGTTGAAAACTAATTGTTCCTGAAATTTTAGTAATAACCTTATAGTTACTATAACAATAGTGACTACTAACAATTAGTAAAATCAACTTCTATTGTGAAAATATATAGTGCTTCATATTTAACTAAACTCATCGGAAATAATTCTTTCTCAAGTTTTATTAGAATTCAAAACTATAAAAATTCGTTATTTGATGTTTCTCACATTTCTACGATACGAAGCCCTGGAAGGGACACATAAAATAAAAAAAATAAAAACTCTTCAAAATTCTGAGTTATAACTCGGAATTTTAAAATTCCGAGTTATAACTCGGAATTTTACATCAAAATTCCGACTTATATCTCGGAATTTTAAAATTCCGTGTTATAACTCGGAATATTGGATGTAAAATTCCGACTTATAACTCGGAATTTTAAAATTCCGTGTTAATATGAGCCCGAAACTGGGTTTTCATCTATGAACTACACCACTCCACTTTGAGTTACCATGGACTTCTTCCAAAGACTCTCATATAAGTTTTTAGATACAACGTATCTTGTGCTAATTGCTATTTTCACTATTTCTGTCTGAGAGACCCTTGAATTCAGAATCTTCCTGTTATGCTATAGTGATCAGCTTAAGTTTATGAATTAATAGATCGTGGCTTTGAAATGGTGGATATAAAAAATATGTTCGTGTTGTTGTCGCCTATTTAGAGTCTAAAATTTTGAATAGAAATATGAAGGGTGATTGTTTTTATTTTTGTTGGATTGATCATTCTCCATTTCTATTCATTCTAGTTCGTCTGCTGTCAAATGTTGAGCATTATGTGTGAATATCCACTAGTGTAGTCATTTTTTTATTGAACAATCCCCATTAATATTCTCCAGTACCATTCGTTTGGATATTCACTAGACACTGATGAGTTTGTACTAAAAAACTTCCGACAACCTCTACCACATTTTCTTCTCTGGATTATCCATAAAAAATAATGCGTTTCCAAAATTTAGTAGGTAGGCCCAACCAGAGGGTGGGACTAATGGGAGGAGTTGTGGATGCGGCTAAGATGCGATTTTACGAGTGAACTGTCATGGCTCTCAATCATTGTTGATGACCCTGTATATATCCAGATGGTTGTGCCATGAAAATAGAAGTATACCTTGGATTGAATTATTTATTTGTATATTCAACTCTATAGTCTTGGTGATCTTTCAACTGAAATAAAGAAATGAATTGTTGTAAAATAGTTTATTTTTAGGGTTCTCTGAGTCAGTTTTAATCTTCTCCTGAAGATGCTAACAAAGTTAGCGAAACACGTGTCGAGGCGTTTAAAAAATCGGTTTGGTTAGTTGTAAAACAGTGTAGTGTGTTCTCTGAGGTGGACCACATTCTATATAAAATAAAACAATCCAATGATAGATACAAGTTATTCTTTATTAATGTCTATATTATATGTTTATCTTGGAATAGAAACAAGGAATGAAGCTATAAAAACACCACCAACTAATCCATAAGAAAAAAACCGAAAACCATTTATTTATTTCCCCAACCCCACAATCCTTTGACAAACCCGGAAATCCCCGCCCCTTGAGCCTTTTTAGGCTGCCCCCCTTCCAGTTTCTCCGACAAATCGGGAAACTCCACCAAATTCAAGGCCAAATCGAAAAAGAGCGGTTTTGCGGCCACTGGTTCCATTGGAGGCGGCAAAGACACCAAATTGGGGTGTTTGGACAGCAATTGGGGCTCCTCTCTGAATTCGTCCAAGCGGTCGTAAAGCGGCTTTTTGGTCTTGTATGTTTTTTGAGGCAACTGTATGGTTTGCTCTTCCTGTTGGTCCAGGACGTAGTTGGCTCTGGAGGTGGCAAGATCGATGCTGGATTTTTCCCGGACTGTTTTCAGTAGACTTTCCAATTCGATCATGAAGTTACCTGTGATGATAGTACTTTGTTTTACAGTGCCTGTCCAAAGTCCGATTCCTTCTTACTATATAGTGTTTGAACCATCTGGTAAATCGCAACGAAATTTGGAGAGGTCAAATAGAAGATGAAAACCTGAGAAAACTACTGTTTCAAAATGGCGGCTGAGGGTCATCTTCAATTATTTTTTAAAATTATATTCCTTCTCCGAAATCTTCTCATAATGTTCAACACTTTTATCTGATACACTCAACTCTTGAAATCAATAGTTTTTGAAATATTAACGTTTGAAAAGTGACCTTGGTCATTTAAAACCTAATCAAAAACTAAACCTTTTCAAGTTCGAATTGAGACTTATCAATTTCAAATTGGAAAAACACATCCAAATTGGTAAAAATCCAAAATGGGAATGAACACAATCAAATAGGGAATTATCATTTTCGAATTTAGAATAAACGGTTTGAAATTGGGAATTAACATATTCAAGTTGATGAACACAATCAAAATAAGAATGAACTCTTCCAATTTGGGGCCAAACAACTTCAAATTGGGAAATGAATTGTCAATATTGTGTCAAAATCAATATTAATCATTAGCAATTAATTCCCACTTAATATTTGAACTGATATGACATTGATAAAAAAAGATGCAGATATTATTAGAAATCAAATTTGTGGGGGTGTTCAAAAATACTGGTGATTGAAGGAGAGTGGCGGATACAACATTCGGCATAAAAAAATCAACGGCTTATCGATTAGTGAAGAATCAGGACAAATAGATAAACAACGGGAAGAAGAAAGGAGGACCAAAATTACTCAAGAACATCACATTATTGTACAGAATTCAATAAATATAAAATAATTGCCTATACAGGGTGGGCCACCAGTAACGCCTCGGTCTCTAGAAGGCTAACCACTTATCTTCTTGGAATTCTTCCTCTCTAGGAAGTTGCATGTCAACATAGGCTACCATCTGAAATTATTTTGAAACATACAGGATGTCCCCAAAAATCACAAAACACTGAAGTTGAACTTTTTTCAATCGAACACCCTATATATTATTTCATTTTGTAACAAATCAATGTCGCCGCCCATGCTCTCTTTTAAATATAATAATAATTATCAAATATTCTTCGGGAGGCTAGGCAACCAACTATTCATTCACACAGATTCAAAATCCGTGTGCGCGCCTAGGGTCAGTTGTTGTGGAGAGGGGATTTTCTGAAATGGCTTGCGCTGGTCATTTCACTCTCGAACGGGCAGTTTTCTCAACCAAGTGAATAATAATTTAACATCCACGTTGATCGAACCCAAATTCTGTGTTTTTGGTTTCCTATGTGCCCAATGTTCCTCTGGAACATCTTGGCCTGTGCCTGCATATGATATTTAGGTTTTCGACGTTCCTCTCAACCCGAGATCTTGGTGAACTTTTGAAGTGAATAAATAGTCTCCTGAACCATCCATGTTTTAATCAGTAAACCCACCAAACCCCTGAGACCGTTACAACTTGGCGCCCAACGTGGGGCTGATTGAAGAATGGTTCTGGAGAAGTCTCCCGTGGGACCAACAGGGTATTTTTTCCGAGCACGCAACGACCGGCGAGCTGAAACACACGGTATGCGGCCAGCAGGAGAGAACCTCCTACCTCCTGAGCAGCGTCCCGAAGACAACGCGACTTACGCGACCTCGGCGAACATCTCCGGGAGCGTCGCGACGCCTCCAGCAACGACGTCACCACCCGGCGCCGGACCAGCAGCTGCAGCCGCAGTCACAGCGGTGTCATCGGATAGCTCGACAGGATGCATCAGTAGGACTGGTGCAAGGTCATCTTTTCAAAATCCAGGTTTGAATACGTATCAGGAAAATTTAATTAATAAAGACAGTGTTGATAATCATTTTCCTATCCATGTAAACACAAATTGTGTTCCTAATTTGCGGTCAAATGAGAGACCCACTTTTTATTCTAATTGTGATAAAAACCAGGCAGATAAGGAATCCAACAGAAATTCGTTTTTGCCCACAGCTGGTTCGTTCGCGAACCCAAGTGAATATACACTGCCTGCCACAAATTCAGTATCTCCAAATTATTCTCAAATTTATCCGGAAAATACTTTTTTGTATAGAAATAATTTTGATCATGTTCCAAATTTTCAGTTTTCAGATAATAGATATGTAAATCGTAACTATAATAGTCAGTTGTCACATAACAATACTTCAAATGTGAACCTACCTAATAGTTCGTGTCAAAATATGCGATATCCACGTAACCATCAGGGACAGTGTAGTGTAGCAAATAGTAATCCTAATATTATAAATCACAATCCACCTTCACTAGTGCAAAATGTGCCTAGTAATAATAGAATTTTTAATAATGTATCTGATTTGAGAGATGTACGAGTTTTACCCACTTTTGATAACGAAGGGTTACACCCTGTTGATTTCTTGAATAACATCGAGGCTTGTTTCGACACTAATAGCGTCCCCTTTAATCAGTTGAGATTTCTTATTGGTAATTTGTTTGAGAAAACTGCAAAAACCTGGTTTGATGTTTATAGCTACATGTTCAATTCGTATGCTGATTTTAAATGTTATTTTTTAGAACAATTTTGGGGTGATACTTTGCAACTGGGGGTTAAATTGAGATTAGAATCAGGGAAATTCCAAGAAGGTTCAGGATCTCTAGTTGATTATTTCAATTCCAAAATATCCCTAGCACGTCACTTAAATCCTCCCTATACTGAACAACAACTTATTTCAGTTATTGCAAGGCACTTTCCCCCAACTATTTCGGCCAGTTTATTAGGCGCTGATAATTTATTACTAGCGGTAAGTAGACTGAGACAGGCCGATTACTATTTTGATTCGCAAAGTTCTGTCCAACCTTTTCACCCCAGAAGAGATACAAATCATTTTGGGCGAAATCAAAGTGGAAATAGAGGTTTTCGAAATCAAAATAGCACGGGAAATCATTCCGGATTCAATAATGATAGAAATCACGCGAGTAACAATACTGGCGTAAAGCAAATTTCAGCGCTCGAACTACAGGGTGATTCGATGAATGAGGCAATAACCGGGTCGGGAAACGAGTTATTACCCCACATGTAAGTCCGAGTGTGGGGGCGGTTTCAAAAAGGGCATCACCTAACTTTTTTGTTAATAATAATCCGAAGGAGCAACTTTTGGAAGAATGCGATTTTGAGCAGCATTTTCTTGATACGAGGTCTCCCGTGATATTAATAACTCTGTTTGGATTTCAATTTCCGGCTATGATAGACACCGGAAGTACAGTGACAGAGCTTGTTCGATGGAAATTTGGCAACAGTTGGCCGATTTCCATAAAGAAATTCCTCATTTTCCCTGTAATGCGGTTAGAGTTGTTGGAGCTTTCAAATCGAAATTTAAAAAAGTATTGCTGCAAGCGTATTTAACATTTTTGTTCAGGATGCTTCTTTCTCACACGAGTTTTTGTTAATTGCGGATTTGTCATACCCAATTATTATCGGTTGTGATTTTTTAAGATTGTTTCAAGGTACAATAGACCTTAGAAATAAAAACATTGTTTTGTGTTCAGAAAATAAATTTATTCATGTTCCTGAAATGCTTATGAAGCATGAAGGCGGCAACCCGTGCCCAATAAATGTTACAGTTTTAGTTAATAAAAACAAGGATTTGCCACATAAAACTTTTTCATCGAAAGAAATTCGGTACGAAGTTGATTCCGGTATCGGGTCTGACGTCGAACTGTTGTCCAGTGGCGTACCTGAAACAATAAGAATTGAATTTAAAAACTTATTATCAAAGTATGAAAAAATATTTTCGCCAATTCCAGGGCGAACAAATCTTTATTTTCACGAAATTAAGTTGAAAGACGAAAAAGATTTTTGTATCAAGAGTTACCCGATTCCTGTTTTACATAGAGAGGCGGTGGAAAAAACCATCACGCAAATGGAACGTTGGGGTGTTATTGAGCGAGCCTCAACCCCATATATCTCACCCTTGATGACAGCTGTCAAACGTGATGGCTCAGTACGTGTTTGCTTAGATGCCCGCTACTTGAATTCAAAGATGGTCCCTGATTTTGAGTCCCCGTTGCCCATAAACGAAATTATTGCGCGTTTGAATGGCAAACAGGTGCTGTCAAAAATTGATTTATCTCATTCTTATTGGCAACTGCCCTTAAGACCGCAAGATAAAAAATATACCGGGTTTATGATAGGAAACAAATGCTATCAGTTTAACGTCCTCCCATTCGGCATTATATAGTACTGCAGTCTCTTCCTTCACGAGGGCCATGTCTACCATTTTTGGGGAAGATTTTTCAGAATTCTTAGTGACATACGTTGACGACTTGTTGGTGATGTCTGAATCAATGCACCAACACCTGGAACACCTGGAGCGGATATTTTCGAGATTACAGCATGCAGGGCTGACCATAAAACTGGAAAAGTGTCAATTTTTTCAGACAGAAATGGATTTTTTAGGTTATGTTGTCAGTCCGTTAGGGGTTCGTCCAGATCCACAACGTATTCAAGCCATCGCGGACTACGTACGGCCTAGGAATGTTAAAGAAGTCCAACGATTTTTAGGGTTATGCAACTACGATAGGGGGTTTTCTTCTAAGTTCGCTTCTTTGTCAGAACCGCTCACCACTTTACTACGGAAAAAAAATCGCTGGGTCTGGGGTGAAGCTCAGGAAAATTCGTTTAGGGCCATGAAGCAAGAGTTGCAGAAGATAACGATGCTGTATCATCCGGATCCCTCCTTGCCCTTCCATTTAGTAACTGATGCGTGCGACAATGGAATTGCTGCACAGCTTTTTCAGTTGGTCGAAGGAGAAAAGAAACCAGTGGCGTGGGCCAGTCGTTTGCTCCTGGATCGAGAACGACGGTATAATTCTAATGAAAAAGAAGTCCTTGGAGCGCTATGGGCCATCCAGAGGTGGAGAACCTATTTGTTGGGAAATACCTTCACCCTGTATACGGACAGCAGAACTTTAACTTACCTAAATAGTTGCCGATTGCTGTCACCTAGGATAACTCGCTGGGCATTGGCACTGCAGGAATTTTCTTTCAGGATAGTCCATGTTTCTGGAAAGGAAAACTACGTAGCTGACGCTCTGTCCAGGCATAGCTGTGTTAGGTTACCAACCCCATCCGACAAGAACTTCAAGATTCTCACTCTTCAGCTCCCATCTGCCGTTCAAAAATCCCTAAAAAATATAATCCATCATCAGACGGAAGACAAAAAATTATCGGAAATAATAAATCAAGTTTTAGCAGGGGATGAAGCCTTGTCTCGACAGTTTGTCGTATTCAATAATATTCTATTCAAGTATGGTAGAGTCGAGTATTCGTTTTTATTGTATATTCCCGAGGAACTAGTGATCACCTGTATTAGAGGATATCATGAGGCCATCGGTCATTTTGGACTTTATAAAACCCATTCTGCAATGAAGGACGAGGTATATTTTGCAAATATGCAACGTCGAGTGAAAAAAGTTATAAAATCTTGCGATATCTGTCAAAAATCTAAAATTTCAATATCACCAAAGCCACCTCAACAACAAATTTTACCTACTTCTAAGGACGATTTAATCGCGATAGATTGTTTAGGTCCATTAATTCGAAGTCGTGGGGGTGTCACGTATATTTTGGTCGTGTTTAACGTTTTCACAAAACATATAAAGCTCTATCCCTTGAAACGAGCGACTACCAGGGCCCTTTTGAATCGTATGATCTCCGATTATCTACCAACATTCGGTCCAATTCGAAGAATACTTCACGATAATGCTACCCAGTTCACCGCGAAACTTTGGCGGGAAACCTTTGAAGATCGTAGTATAAACTTAGTGTATATTTCTGTTAGACATGCTGCCGCGAATCCGAGCGAACGATGTATGCGCGAGATAGGTAGGATTATGCGAGCCTTCTGTTCCGAACATCACGCGAAATGGGCAGTGGAGTTGAAACTTTTTGAAGAATTCTTAAATTCTGTGGTTCACGAGACGACAGGCTTTACTCCCAATGAGTTGCAGTTGGGGTTAGAAAAACCAAAATTCTTACCAGTTAGGGTGCAGCCACCAGATTACCCGAAAACTCTAGAACACGGCGAGAAGCTAATACTTGCCGAAGCTTCACTGCGTTCCAAAGCTGCACGTCGCGCCATTCTACATCCGGGGCGTCCGTATGAAAAATTCCAACCGGCTGATAAAGTCCTCTTAAAGGCAAACAATATATCGTCGACTGTAAAGGCTGAAACCAAAAAATTATTATTATTGTTTGAAGGTCCTTTTTCAATTAAAAAACGTATACGGGAAGATACTTACATTTTATGTCAGTTAGATGGTCGCGAGAGGGGTATGTTCCACGCGAGCCATTTGAAAAAATATTTTGAGCCGCCATAGATTGTTTTCAGGTGGTGAGTTCTGTACTTCGTACCTTCGCTCAAGGGAGGGGGGTGGAGATGTAACAAATCAATGTCGCCGCCCATGCTCTCTTTTAAATATAATAATAATTATCAAATATTCTTCGGGAGGCTAGGCAACCAACTATTCATTCACACAGATTCAAAATCCGTGTGCGCGCCTAGGGTCAGTTGTTGTGGAGAGGGGATTTTCTGAAATGGCTTGCGCTGGTCATTTCACTCTCGAACGGGCAGTTTTCTCAACCAAGTGAATAATAATTTAACATCCACGTTGATCGAACCCAAATTCTGTGTTTTTGGTTTCCTATGTGCCCAATGTTCCTCTGGAACATCTTGGCCTGTGCCTGCATATGATATTTAGGTTTTCGACGTTCCTCTCAACCCGAGATCTTGGTGAACTTTTGAAGTGAATAAATAGTCTCCTGAACCATCCATGTTTTAATCAGTAAACCCACCAAACCCCTGAGACCGTTACAATTTTGAGATTCTCCCTGATGAGCTGATTTCAACGACCCATCATACTTGGGGTCTAGCAGTTATAATTACTGAGATATAGGGTGTGAGAAATCGATATTTTCCAAGTTCAAGAATTTTTTGTGTCTAAACCATTCATAATTGGTCAAAACGGTCAAACTTTTGATCAACTATCTACTGACATTTAATTGAAACAAATTCAGGGTGGTGCAGAATGAATCTTGATCACCCGGTATATGTCCCAATTAAATATCAGTAGATAGTTAATCAAAAGTTGAGATAGGGACATGTAAGCCGTTTTGACCAATTATGAATAGTTTCGACACAAAAAATTCTTGAACTTGGAAAATCTCGATTTTTCACACCCTATATTTCAGTAATTATAACTGCTAGACCCCAAGTATGATGGGCCGTTAAAATCAGCTTATCAGGGAGAATCTCAAAATGAAATAATATATAGGGTGTTCGATAGAAAAAAGTTTAACTTCAGTGTTTTATGGTTTTTGGGGGACACCCTGTATGTTTCGAAATAATTTTAAATGGTAGCCTATGTTGACATGCAACTTCCTAGAGAGAAAGAATTCCAAGAAGATAAGTGGTTAGCCTTCTAGAGATCGAGGCGTTACTGGTGACCCACCCTGTATAACAAGTGGAAATGTGTTTCCAAAATGGCGGCACAGGATACATTTCGTCTAAAATCGATATGGCGACACTGTGACCTCACCGATAGAATTTTTTTCAAGACTATAATAGACTGTTTTGCGTCTTTGGTGAATAAATAACTATTTTGTTATGCATTCTGCTCTCATCAAACTGTAAGTGCAAGTATGAACAATGTTCATACTTTACTTGACTTTTATAACTTGACAGAAATACAAAGAATTTCAGGGTCAGAAACAGAGGTCACTGGCTTGCTGAAAATATCGTCTATAAGGGCGATTTTTGGAATTTTATTATGTTCAATAAATAAATATTACATAAATCGCCTACTAGGATTTAATTTAGAACAATCTGTCAAAATGTGAGTATTCCTCATTATATTTTCATCAAATTGCTGTTCAAAATTTATTTTTCTTTAAAGACATGTCAGACTTTCAGTCTGACCTTGTCTCAAATGATCGTCACTAAGAACCCAGGCAACCAGATGACGAATGATCACGTCACTGTGACGTCCCTAATTGGTGATTTTTCGTCAGAGACGTCACACACCAATTTATGACGTCACTATGACGTACTTTCTATGACGTGATAATCACGTCATCGTTTCGACCTCGAGTGAACGCCACTTAGATGGGTAAAAGAAGACGTCAGTTTCATGACGTTGCAGGGACGTCCTGTCGACTTTCAGTTTTCCCAGACCTTCTCTAAACCACGGATACTTATATATTATCATGTTAAACAGAAGTATAACTCATGAAACCGAATCAACAGGTAAGTTTTATTCTAATTATTAATATACCCGAAAAGTAGTAGAACAACTTTTTTCTAAAAAACTTTGACACACTGTATATCTCGGAAACCAACAAGCTATGTATATATAAAAATGATAGTTTAGGTATACCTATATTGAAACCGTTACTCTTATGACGTTGCAGTGACGTATCTATGACGTCTGAAAATCACGTCGGGGTGACGTACCAATTTGGCGAGCTTCGTCATTTAGGAAATTTTTCAATAATTATTAGCTATTTAGATTTTTGTTGGGTGACAAAGAATGCATCAATATACATTATTTAACAAAGTGAAGCCAAATTCGCCAACATCCTTTCCATTGCTATCAAACTATTCTTTGTTTGCTTACATCTCGCCGATACAAACTACATAATTTTTTATACAAATACGAGTAACTGATTGCATTCTGATGGAGATGCGTACTGAAGGATGGCGCTGCTGAATAGGCGATTGAATGAACATGGCACAGGAGGGATCCATCAAGCAGACTCAACAATGCATAATCAATATTATATAATGTCATCAGAGGCTAATGGTGTTTATCTCACCATGTTGAAGGAATCTTTTTTACGTATCATCGCCAAATTCAATCGTCATTTTGACGTCATTTTGACGTCATTATGACGTCAGTCGGACGTCACAGTTTGGTGAGTCAATGACGTCAATACGACGTGAGTAATATGACGTCATTGGGCTGTGACTTATTCACGTCATTATCACGTCAATGCGAGGTCAACTACTGACGTCACCTTGGTCATTCAAGTGACGTAAAAAAGACGTCACTGGAACGTCATCTGGTTGCCTGGCAAGTCGACCGAAAAAGTATATTTTTCTGTTGAATGCCAAGAGTTGAGTACACAGGGAGAATGCAAATGAAATAGAAGGGAGAAAAGGTAGCCTTACCTTTCTTCAAATTCTTCACGCTCCTCGAAGCCCTATCGAAAAGTACTGCTGCCTCTTTCCAACGCTTCTGAGCGGCCTGAGACTTGCCCAAATAATAATAACGGAGAGCCTTGTAGGCAGCGATTTGCGAGTCGTAGTAGTCTTTCACCGACACATCGTTCCTGATGAATAATAACAATTTCATGATACATACTAAGTGCGAGAGCAGTCTTTCCGGGGACTGCCGTTACCACCGATAAAACAAGGCCAGCAGACTCTGACGTAAACAGCTCGTGACGTCGCATACTCAGGCCATCTTCCAAGGCATTCGCGTCGATCGATCGTCAGTTTGTTTTTGTTTAAGAACGGTGGCGTAGGTAAATCGCGTGTGTGCTCGAATTCTCTTGTTGTTTATTCATCAAAATAATTGGCGGAGAAATTACTGTTTTGTGAAATATTTCGTGTTGTGATAGGCGAAATAACAATGCCTTACAAGTGTTGTGTTCCCTTTTGTCGGGGGAATTATGTGGGTGGTCCAAAAGTTCATGCTTTTAGTTTCCCGTTGGACAAGGAACTTTCGAAAAAGTGGGTACATGCAATTCACCGCAAGGATTTTACGACTCCATCTAAGTACAGTAAAGTATGTGAATCACATTTTACTAAAGATGATATTATTACTTCATCTACTGCAACAGATTCAAAAACTAGCAAACTGTAACAATAGATTTGAAAATTCCTAGGCTCAAACGAGATGTTATTCCCACTCAATTTCCCAACTGTCCATCTTATTTATCGAAAGAAGTAAAATTACGCACAAGTCGTGATGAAAAACTTGAGATACTAGAGACTAAAAATTTGGCACAAGCACTTACCAAAAGTAAAACTGAATTCGAAAATTACCAAAAATCATTTTGCTACACAGAATTTCAAGAATTTCTAGTTGTATTAGAGTCTTTTCAGCTGCCGGAAAAGTGGTTCAAAATTATCGATTTGCAAAAAGTCACATTATTCAAATTGTCTTATTCTCCAGGGCCCGTAATTACATATTCGGTTGTGATTGATTTTGTTTTGAATGTGGAATCATTTTTGTATGACCTAGCGATACAAACATCTCTAAAAGCCAATCTGAAAACACCTTTCATCTCTAATAATATCAATCAAATCAAGGAATTACTAATTGAAATAGATAAAAACGAGATACATAATTCGGGAAAATGTCTTGATAATCAGAAAAAGAGGGTTTTGAAACATATTTCGAATGCATTGGACTCTTTGGTTTCTGACTCAATACATTCTCAAATTTCTTTCTGAAAACGGTCATTTGCCTCGTGGCAATGAATGCAGAATTCATTCCAATGATCAAATTGCAACTATTATATTAACATGAACTACAAACACTCTACTTGAAAATTAATGTTTCAAGTCTAACGACCAATTGGGTAAAAAATCCAACAACAGGAAATTGAAAACACTCACTGGCTAATTTTTTAGGTAATAGAAATTCTCCAAGATAAATATAGGTAGTTAGGTATAACAAACGGCATGTCTATCAAACTAAAATACATTTTCCCCAATTTTCTTTCGATCAATCTCATGATAAGTTTATGTTCTGCGGGCCCTGTATAAGTAGGTGTGAAGTTTACCTCTAATGAGATTGAATCACTACAATTTTTGCCAATATATTTAATTCGAATGGGTTGCTGTAGGTGGGTATTTGTGTTTTATTCTGGTTTTTGCTTTGAAACTTCATTTTTCCATAATAAAATCGAATGGGATGCAAAGAAGGGCTCAGTTGACGGCTGGCATCCTCTTTCAACCGGAAGCCCTTAAAAAAAAGGAAAATCGGCTCAATAATGATCTAAAACTAAAATCGAAATACGCGGTCGCCTGATAGCGCTATAAGCGCTTGTCGTTTCGAGCCGCTGGTTAGGCCTGACTAAGTGACGTCACCCACGGAGCATGCAGGCCTTGTTTTATCGGTGGTAACGGGACTGCCGATAGAAGTCGAAACTAAGTAACTTATGAAATAAATACAAGAAGCTCAGTCATTTCCACACAATGTTCATAAAATGAATAACAATGGTAGATTTCGGGAGAAAAACAACTACTTTCCTGGTTAATGCCACGCAGAACATTGAATTACATCCTCCCGAAATCTATGCATCGACTCTTATAGACGAATACCGATACAAGTGATTCTTTCCTGGATGCCTATTGATTTCGATTTGGCCAGGCAACGCTAAACACTTACAGACCGGTTTCGAGCTCTTTGACTCTCATCAGTGCAGGGCAGTATCCAGCCAGCAGTCCTAAGACCGCCGGCTAAGCGTAGCCTAGCCAAACAAAAAACAAGTCGGCATTAAATTACCTGAGTAGAAAATAAAGAAAGAAACAATCCAAAACAAAATTCCCATACTCAGATGGCCACTGAGGGAATATCCCAATCAGCACCAGACATCTTAAAGACGTACATTTTACGACTTACTCACGTCTTTACGTCCAGGGACGTATAAAGTACGTCTTTAAGATGTAAATCCATGTACATAGTAATTATGTTTTCTATTCAGTACTAAGGTGTCGTTTTCGAGTTTGCCGAATTTGATCTTTTTCATCCCAATTTCCTCTTCTGGGCATATGTCCTTGATGTTGAAGGGACACTTCATCTCCACAATGGCATTTTCATCCACCAACCCATCAGGACTGGCACCCAAAATAGTTATTTATGCAACAAATGCAAAAAGTGAATGTTTATTGCATTCGACGTGAAATTGTCCGACGAGGCCGTTAGGCCGAGTTGGACAACACGTCAAGTGCAATAAACAATTTTTGCACGAGTTGCATGCAGCATTTTTTCTACGTTCATGCAAAAAGCAAAAAATGATTTATTGAGGTGCGGCACTAGGTACAATTCTGTTAATTGTCAGAATTAATTTTTGACTGACGTTTCTATAACCACAGTTGCATTATAGAAAATGTTTGTCATGATGACAGCACGTTGAAGTAGAATGACAGATGAGTGCAATAAAAACTTTATTGCACTAAGTGCAATAAAGAACTTCTTTTTCCACTAAATATAGTTCAATAAAGTTCTGTTTTTTGCATGAATTTAGAAAAAATATTTTTTATCAATGAAAAATCCACTTTTCCTAACTTTAATATTGTTTTTGACTTCGATGGCAAAAGGTTCGTTCAATTTTCCATATTTGGTCGCTTTGCTGCCTTTCAATTTCGAATATAATAATCCTTTTATTGTATTAATGCTGCGGGTGTTCGATTTCATTTCTCTTTTCTGGTAGTTCTTTCTCTTTCACTTCTTCGACCCATTTTTCTTTCCACAATTCTCACTTGATTCACTGTCAAAACACGAATGAGCAAGGAGCAAGCACCCAATACTTTATTTACCTACCCTACCCATTGAGGGATTAGGATTTCCAATGAATAATTATTGTTTTCAGGTACGCCTATGAAAACTATTGCATACAACCTAATCTACTAAATGCGACGGTCCGGACGGATTACCAAAATTGGTTACCAGAAAAAGACAGCAACACCTAGTCTTGTCGATTATTAACAATATTCATTTCGCCCTAGGTAGGAAGCTTTTCCAACGTTGCCAATTGGGTCGAGGTTCGTTCGAGAGTTATAAAACGACATAGGTGGCAGCGCCAATCAGATACAAATTTCATGATCGTAGAATCGATTTTTCGTGAAAACTATAGCTTTTTTGTGGAAAATGTTTGTTTTGATGGATTCAGAGGCCTCATCAAAGTTCCGGATCTTCATTATTTTTTTCATTTATCAAATTTTTTTTTTGAAAATTATCACATTAAAAAATCAAGGAAGTTCCGGAATTTCGAAAAATGAAATGCATCAGTTGCACTAAGAATTTTTTTTTTGAAAAAAAAACTGAACGCGTAAAACCGATTCCCGTTTTATCAAGGTAGTGTTTGCTCTTAAAGACGTACACGAATTCACGTATTTAAGACGTACATTTAGGTCGTATCCACGTCGTTCCTCCCATGTCTTATAAAAGACGTCTTAAAGACGTACATTCCAGTACGTCAATTCGACTTATAGAACAATAATGTAAGTTATTTTCTGAAGAAAAACAAAATATCATCTCTTCACGTTTTTTATGTTCAATTGTTCAGTTTTTTCTTATTTTCAACAAAAGTGATGTTTTTGAATTTTTTCGTCCGACATTTTGGAGCCTTCGTGTTAGATTCTCGAATTTTTACAAAAAAATCATATTCTCCGGCCCCAAAAGTCCCATAGTAATCAATTTTGAATAAAATCGGACTATAAATCACAAAACTCGTCCGCCATTTTGAAGCCGACATCTTGGATTTTTCATTTTCGACAAAAGGAATTATAATCTCTGATCCCGAAATCGTTCAGATGCCAATTCTGAATCAGATCAGACCATAATCAGAAAACCATATGCCACATTGGATTCACCATCTTGAATATTGAATTTTGATTCGAATCGGAACATAATCAATGAGAAAATCGTCCGCTATATTGGATCCGCCATTCTGTTTTTTCCATTCAATAATATTACCACAACGAATTGTCACCGGAATAATATTTACTTGCCAAATTTCAAATCAATCGGACGATTTAAAGTGAGTCATATTTAACTTGCACGTTTTGATTACAAACAGACACAAGGACATGTTAAACTAAGTAAAAGCTTGTTATGTGATATATAGAACAAACAGAGTAACAGAAGAAGTGAGTTACCGTTTGATGAAGTCGTTTATTTCCCTTTTTTTTGCTTGTCTGCACTTGTTGCTAACTTCAGTGCACAGGTGAAAATTAACTGAAACTATGTGATTTTTCCGTAAGTTGAAAGATCAATTTGAGGTCATGGACCAAAAACACCTAAAAAAGACGTCTTAAAGACGTACATATTAGTGGAAAATGTACGTTTTAAAGACGTCTCAAAGACGTCTCTTGGGCGTAATATGTACGTCTTTAAGACGTACTTATGTCCCGACATGTACGTCTTAAAGACGCCTCTAAGACGTACTTTGGCTGATTGGGATAATACCGACATACATAGACATCAGGCCTATTATTGTTTCTTACTTGATCGTCTCGTTCTGCGACATCTCATTGGTCTGCTGTACGTTGATGTCCAACAGACGGACGCAATCTTGCGGCTTCCTCGTTTGAGCTATCAGAAGCAGATTGCGCTGCGACGTACGTTCGATGCGAACGGACAGCAGATAGGAGAGCAACGACTGGTACTCCTTCACCTAAATCATGTACATACAGATATAGAAATACAGTCTGTCCAAGAAAAGGTTGCTCAGCATGGGGATCTCGGAAACGGTAGGAGATACGAAGTCGGTTAAATGGGGAAAAAGTTGCGCATTCGGAGGCTCATACCAACAGCCTTCGAAAATTTTTAAAATTATTTTTAGTTTTTAAGTTATATCGAAAAAAGTGAATTTTTGGAATTTCTATTTTATTTTTTTTCTGCGTTATTATTAGAGATACAGGAAAACTGAGAATACTTTTTCATAGCAACTTTTGATGACGTTTGACGTGGTGATAACGATTTTTCTATGCGACGTTTCGTATTCGTAGAACCATCATCAACTTTTGTTTTTTAAATACGGCCCTGATAATTCTTTCACAGATTCTGAAAGCTTTTTTTATTCTGAATTCAGCCATGTATTATACAAGGTGGTTTGAATGTGTTTCGAACTATTTTTAGCCATCATCAATGTTTTTTTCGAAATTCCAAACGAAAAATGCCATCAGTTCCACTTATTTTGAAGGAAAATTAGCCAACAAACTAATACCTCATCAAATAGTTCCGATTGATAGACTTATAGGAATAATTAGTTCGAAAAATTTGATTATGACAAGCTCCTTCGGATTAAAATATGAATACAATTCATAAACAATTCGAAGCGCTGCATTGAATAATTTAGTGAATTTTTTTTTTCACTTTTCAGTATTGAATAACTAGTCCATCAATGTTTGACACTGAATAATTAGAAATAAGTGAAACTGATGGCATTTTTCCTTTGGAATTTCGAAAAAAACATTGATGATGGCTAAAAATATTTCGAAACACATTCGAACCACCTTGTATAATACATGGTTGAATTCAGAATAAAAAAATTTTTCAGAATCTGTGAAAGAATTATCAGGACCGTATTTGAAAAACAAAAGTTGGTGATGGTTCTACGAATACAAAACGTCGCATAGAAAAATCGGCATCACCACGTTCAACGCCATCAAAAGTTGCTATGAAAAAGTATTTTCAGTTTTTCTGTATCTCTGATTATAACGGAGAAAAAAAATAAAATAGATATTCCAAAATTTCACTTTTTTCGATATAACTGGAAAACTTAAAACAATTTTGAAAATTTTCGAAGGCTGTTGGTATGAGCCTCCGAATGCGCAACTTTTTCCCCATTTAACCGACTTCGTATCTCCTACCGTTTCCGAGATCCCCATGCTGTGCAACCTTATCTTGGACAGACTGTATAGTCTATTCGCAAAATTCACGAAGTGGGCGACATCTAGGTTACATAATACGAACTTCAAACTGGGGGAAAATAATCTGTTGTCTATGGATAAAGTGCATAGACTAAGTTGCATTCAGCTTGCTGTAGTCAAACTTGTCAATAACATAAAGTGTTGGCACTATTGGTAGTGGATGATGGTTGGGTTGGTCAATTTTTTACATTTTTATTAGTTTAGTGAACAGTGAACGGGTGAAGAATTGGAGATAGTTCAAACAATTCAAACTAATTATGACGAGCAAATCAATTGACATATGAAAGAAAAGCTACAACATGTTTACAATACCCAGATTGTCCTGCTTTGCAGGAACAAATACAAATCCATTGTTCTACAGGAGTTCCTCTGGACCCCAACTTCAATTTTACTTCATGTGGGGAAGATTTCATCGCCGAAGTTAATTGACAAAGTGCAAAAATGTACCTTTTGTTGAAGTCTTCTGCCTCACACAAAATCACATGATTAGCACGGAGAACTGCTTCTCCTTCCACTACTGGTCGGCTTTTTTCATCTAAATAGAGCAAAATATCTGCCAAAAGAACATCTTCAACAGGCATTATTAGCGTTTTCGATCGAATATTGACAATTAATGTCAGGAAATTTAAAAACTTATCACTCTTATCAGCACACAAGCTAATAGCACTAATGGGATTGAGTTTGTTTTCCCCCAGTTTTGACGTGGCTCTGACATGGAACGATGAAAACCGAACGCCACCTGGTAACATTGATTCCCGCGAATTAATTAGGCATCTGCGGCACGTGACCAAATGGGCGTGGTTTAGCTGCTTGGAGGGTAAACATTAGAATTGATTGCATTGGTTTATATGGGAAGTTTAGTAGTGCTGTTTTTCGTGAAATTCAGAAGAAACTATGAGGATTGACCATTATCAGACCTTACAGAAAGTCCATGACGTAGATATTTGGAAATATCAATCTAGACATGAGGAATATCATACCTAAAATAGGTAGATCTGGAGTCCAAAAGAAGTTCTCATTGAGAGAATTGCTTTTGATGGAGAACTTTGGAAGCAATAACCTTTCTTTTCAAAGTAGTATTGATTCCAGAATAAGTGGGCAAATACTTCACAATTGAAAAGGATGAATAACTGAAGTAAGTAGGACAAACTTCATCTTCCAGGAGTAGAAGAACTGAAGATGATTGGCAAATACAACAGGTCATAGAAGATGTAGATGAATCAGTAGAAGAAATCACTATCATTTATGTAGATCATGACGACCCGATATCATCTGCGTACCTATTTATAGTACCTGTACATGCCCAGTTGAAAAATTAATCAGTGATGTCCAGAGAAAAAAATAAACAGGGTGTTTGTAAAAGGTTGGAACATGGCTCAACTGCGGACTCCTGGGATAAAAACAATCGTCTCGTTGCGTTGGTACATACAAGGTATTAAAGTTTTTTTGGAAAAAAATAATTTTGCTCATAAAAAGAGTAGGCTGATATAGATTTTCATAATTTTTGGCATGGCATGTTCTGTGACTGTAAGTCACGTTTTGAGATGTTTTTGATTATCATCCTTGACCTGCAAGTGTTTCAAACAACCATGTTGCCGTATAAATTTTGAGATAAATTTTCAGAGGTCAGACTGGAAACTTCCAGTTTTTTTCCAGAAAGATTTTCCCTTTGAAATTATTTTTTGTATCGTGTTAATTTTTGATGTTTGTGAGTTTTGAAATAAATAATTTCTGATATGGTGCATCCTGCATTTTTGAAAATGAATTTAATTATTCGAACTGTTTATTGATCATGACTACAATGTATTCCTATTGTAAACAAACTGATATGTTGCTGGTCCTCGCAGGCTCTACAAGAAATCTCTCGTTACAAATTTAGCGATAACTCTTCAGGACTTAAGGTGAGCACTTTAACGCCTTGTACCAACTCGACGAAACGATTTTGGATAATTGGATATAGTACACTTGGCTAAAATCAACTCATTTTTATCCCAGGAGTCTACAGTCAAGCTATGTCCTAACCAGATTATTTTTCTAAAAAATGCATAAGATGCCTATCAGATCAGAAATTATTTATTCGCAAATGAACCTCGAGACTTATCAAAAATTAACACGATACAAAAAATATTTATGAAGGGAATATTTTTCTGGAAAAAAAAACTGGAAGTTTCCAGTCCTACCTCTGAAACCTCACCTCACCAAATCTGTACGGCAACATAGTTGTTTGTAACACTTGCAGGTTACTGATGATGATCAACAACATCTCAAAACGTGACTTACAGTCACAGAACATGCCATGCCAAAAATTATGAAAATCGATCTCAGATCTCAGCCTACTCTTTTCATGAGCAAAATTATTTTTTTCCAAAAAGACTTCAACGCCTTGTACCAACGCAACGAGAGAATTTTGGATATAGGTAAGTTGGCCTAAATCAACTTGTTTTTATCCCAGGAGTCCACAGACGAGCCATGTCCCAACCTTTTACAGACACCCTGTATTTACCTGTTTGGCGGCGCTGGTAGTTTTATCAGCCCTGGAGATGTCCCGCGCTAGAGAAATCACATCTCTCAAGTCGATGAACAGATTTTCCAGAATTTTGATGCGGCCCTGGTTGTCTTCGGCGTTCATCAAGGATTCGTCTAGGCCTTCGATACTCACCAAGAATAACCTTGGAATAAATGAAATGACAGGAGACGACTTGAGCAAAGTTTTCATGCATACGAATTTTCTGTCATCGGTATTTGGAACCAGTCAAAAATTTCACAATGGGCATTTCCAGTTTCAAATAATTTGCAGTTTTTTTGTCATAATGTTATGAAGGACTATCCAAATCATAGTCCAGATTATTTTTTATTTTTTTATTCCAAACCATTGCCTTATAAATTAGTGTCGAAATCGCGTGATTCAAACGTTCAAAATGTGGTGGCAGTTTGTGACGTCAGGGCGCGTAGTGATTTGATTGGTTGAATATGGTAATGGCAACGGAGAGGCGGGACTAGCTGAGAGAAACAACACAGTTGCCAGGTCTTCATAAAATATCTAGATATAATATAAATAGGAATTCAAATAACTGAATCTTGATCAATACATTGCTGACTATTGTTCACTTACCAACAACTTGAAAATATTAGATATTACCGAGGGTATTATAGCGTATTTTCATAATAATTTTAGATACACAAATATCCATTGGGATCATTGTTTTGTATTATTTAGTTGCTATAAATAACCGATTCAGTTATCGGTTAATTAGATATATTTCATGTCATGACTAATACTTATCAAAATATCTCGATATACCAAATTTAAACGTGTTTTGACCATTAACGTTCCTCCTCCCTGGAAAATATAATAACTTATGTGGCAACCATGCTTAATCTTTAACATAACCACAACATAGCCTACAACAGCTTACGCAGCATCCTCAGTTTTGAATTTGTTTGTGTTTGATTGTTTGTTTGGTTGTTGGTTTTGAGTTATTTTATTACTTTTGTGAGAAAAATGAGTGCCAAAAAGTGGTTGGTCCCCATATGTCAGAATACAAATCTGAATAAAATATGTGTTCACGTTCCAAGAAATTTAGACATCCAAAGAAGTTGGCAGATTATCTGCTGCTGCCTTTTCGAATCCCTCGTCTACTTTACTCATTTTGGAAATTTTTATAAAGTCTTTCCGATTCGGACAATAATTTCAAAGACTTCTCTTCAAGTTAGGTTATGTTATGCTTTGGACAGACGTCACTCGTCAGTCGAAGCACAAACACGAAAGTCACACCAACACTGTTGCCGAACCTTTTCCAACGATTTCTAATATTCACTGTACACTAATCAAATTGAATAGTAACTGATGATGTTCTGGCTATTTCTGCACCATATATCATAGATTAGCATAAATGAGAATCAATTAAATATGACTTATATTATTGTTCTTGAATTGTTGCTATCAATACATATTATATTATCTTTTGATGATCGATCTCCTAATCATCCCTAATCAATTGAAAGTACAGTTTATATACCTTACCCAAAATACCTCTCACGAGCTCATTAAATAGGTAAATACCTACCTAGTTTTCCCATTTTGAGATAGGTACTGAAATATCCTGCACCATCTAGATGTTAAATTATTTCTTCCCCGTTTTGTCCTAAGAGTTCGTACATTTTATGTAATATGGCAACTTCGGAAAACTTTTTATTGATTTTTCAGAAGCGAGACAACATCATACAACATGAACATGTAACCAATCGAAATCGTTCGCTCGCTGACGTCAAACGGTTCCCTCCCTTTAATACTCGTTTGAATTCGTTAGATCATTTTGCCGTTTTCAATATTTTTTTTTTATCTAAGATTCGGCCAAAATAAAAATCCCAAAAAATTTGTACAAGGTTCTTGAGAGTCATTTATAACCGAATATGATTTTTCTGGAAATTACTGGAAATGCCCATTGTTTGATTACTTTGCGAGAGCCTTGAACAATTCCAGTTGAGGTTACCTATTCACTTTTACTTCTATTTATTCGTACGAATAGATCTACTTGGACCCTCAATTCAAATTATATCGTTACATTTTTTCATCTTCTATGGCTCCAATACCAGCCAGGCAAATCAGAAACGAACGAAGGATAAAAGTTGACAACATAAATATGGACTTGACAACAATTCTCGAATGGATATCCAATAACTTGGTAGATTTCAATGTAAACAAAACTCAAGCATGCCTTTACTCTAGAAAATCCGATCTCACTGTGCCCAACATAAGATTGTCAGGAGTAACTATACCTTTGAAGACATCCATTTCGATGCTTGGTATTACTATCAGCAATAACCTTTCTTGGGAAAATCACGTGAGATCAATTGCTAAAAGTGCATCCCAAAAACTTGGTTTTCTATTTCGGGCCAGGAGCTATTTCACTTCCAGTCAGCTGCTTATGATCTACAAGGCACAAATCCGACCTGTCCTGGAATACTGTTCCCATATTTGGAGTGCAGCACCCAAACATACTCTGAAACTGTTGGAATCTGTCCAAAAAAGGCAATTCGTCTCGTGGGTGATGCCTCGCTCACAAACTCACTCACTTCTCTAGAACACCGTAGAAAAGTTGGCGATCTGGCTCTATTTAATAGAAATTTTCATGGACGATGCTCTTCTGAAATATCAACAATTGTTCCTCCATTTGCAGTCCCCGCGAGATTAACCAGTCGAGTTGAGGCTTCGCACCCCTTCTTGGTCACTTTAGAGACCTGCAGAACATCTCTTTCCAAAGACTCGTTCATCCAACGAACAGCGAGGCTCTGGAACACATTGCCAAGGGAGGTGTTCCCCGAGACATATAACCTCCAGAAATTCAAAAAGAACACCAATTCCTACCTTATTTCTCTCGGTTTTCACGATGTTCTCTGAACATTACAGGGAACCAGAACATAAAAAAAATTCACGAGAACTCGTTTGTTCAAGCAAACCCAATGAAGGAGTAATGGAGATACAAAAATATCTGATCGAGTTTTACTTAAAATAGTTATTTATTATACAAGGGAAACACGTAGTAGATTTATGCTAAAGGTTGTGTTGTTCTCACGGGAAAAAAGTAATTCATCAAAAGTGACATTTTATAACCTGTCAACAGAGATGAAAAGTCAAACGTTTTTCCGATCACAGAAAAAAAATTTTTTTTCACCGATATCGAACTAAAAAAGCACCAATTTGTTTGATGTACACTCGATCGTTCGTGTGCATCGTGCCTTCTGTTTATGATGTAGAAAAATAATCTTGGAATATTTACTAGGTTTCTGACAGATTTCATCTGGGATTAGTTGAATTCGTATGCATGAAAGCTTAATTTCAACACGACACTGAAATTCTAACCTGATTTTCTCTATCCTAACTGGGATGATCAAATCGAACCATTTCACTTCGTACAAGACATCGGCGACTTTTTCTTTGGACTGCGATACGAGAGCATCGAAGTTTTCCAAAACACCTAGTGGAATTTAGAAGTGTTGAAAGATAGTAATGCTAAAACCTTAAAATTTTCATTATAAATCCATTGTCTCCTCGTCTCTATAAAATAAAATATCAATATTATTTCAATATACGTGTAGTAAGGACAAATCAAATGATTTGCCCCAAAATGTCACTGCGTTTAAAGAATTTTCCTATCAGAGAGCCTAAAACAAAAATTCACTAGTGTGTCAGTGACAATTTGTATTGATAAAGGAGAGATGTATAGAAATTCGACGGGTGGGCTCACTCTTCAATTGTTTCGTCAGACTTAAGCTACTCTTACATTACAGCCTTTTTGCAGCAACTTTATTGCAAGCAATATAAATTGCACGCAAAATTAAAAACTAGAGAAACTAGTCTTCTTACATTTGCGACATTTTCCAAGACTTTTTCAGAGTTTTCGAACTATTGACGTTGACATTTGACATCATTTTTGACATTATAAGTTGTTGATATTTCAAAATAAATAAGTCAAGCGAAATTAGGTGGAAATTCATTTTGAAAATGGATAAAGGAAAAATACAAGTTTTACTCATGGCAATTACTACTACTGCTGCTCTTGCCACTTACATAAAAAGGCGCATGGAAAACAGGAGGAATAGATCCTGTTGGAACAAACCATGGTTAAATAAAACAATGGGAAACTTAAGAATAACTAATGAATTCAAAGAGTGTAATGACTTGAAAGCCTTTAAAAACTATCTGAGAATGGATGAGCCTACATTTAATGTTAATGATTCTTCTTCTTCTTCTACTTTATAGTCGACCATTATACAGAACCACCAACACGATAATTAAGTTGTCAGAATCTAAAATCACTAAAAATATGTTACTCGCTATATACCCTTCAGAGTCGTCTCATACGGTCACTGCAATCGAATCTGCTTTGAGTGTATGCATGTCAGATGCTAGACTTCAGAGTTACAGTGTAAACATAGTCGAAGTTGAAGTTTGTTCTTCTGCAAACTGTATGCGTTATACTCACTTTGAAGTCGTCTTATATGGTCAATGCGAACTTGCCTGCTTCATTAGTATCCATGTGAGGTGATAGGATAGAGGTATATAGTGTGTACGACGATGATGTCGATGTATCCCCATTTGCCTATTGTACTCGTTAAATACCCTTCAGAGTCGTCTTATACGGTCACTGCCATCGTATCTGCTTCAACTGTATGCATGTCAGATGCTAGACTGCAGAGTTACAGTGTAAACATAGTCGAAGTCGAAGTTTCTTGTTCTGCAAGCTGTGTGCGTTATACTTGCTTGGGAGTCGTTTCATATGGTCAATGTGGAATTGTCTGCTTCAATAGTGTTTATGTGAGATGATTGGATAGAGAGATATGATGTGCACAACGATGAAGTCGGTATATCCCCGTTTGCCTGTTTTACTCGCTATATATCCTTCAAAGTCGTCTTATATGGTCACTGCAGTCGTATCTGCTTCAACTGTATGTATGTCAGATGTTATACTGCAGAGTTACAGTGTAAACATAGTCGAAGTCGAAATTTCTTGTTCTGCAACTGTGTGCGTTACATGTGTACATAGAAGTCGTCTCATATGGTCATTGCGAACTTGTCTGTTTCAATAGTGTCCATGTAAGATGACCTTCAAAATTAGAAACATTTCTATATATTTCAAGCCTGAAAGTTGCAGTGAAAATAGGCCGAAACGCATGCGCAATTATTGTTTAACAAAGGCCAGCAATTCAGTTGCCAGCAATGTAAGAGTAGCTCTCTCGATATGGAACAATTGCAAGCGTGAGTTTTGGACGTGGGTTTCAGGTATTTGCGATAGAGGCGCCATAATCGGAAAATCGGTCACAACCTTAGTTCTGTGAGGGATGAATCTATTTCCATCATTGTTCTGTGGTCGAATAAATACTGTGCTCAACATTTTCATTCAAATTTCAATTTGAAATGGAAGCAAGAAATATTTTTTGTAGCCGATTCTAATATGCTTCACTTCTTTGATTCTAATGAGCTTCACTTCTTTCATGACATGAACCTATTTAAAGCATGAAATCTGATGAATTTCCTCTTTGAAGAACCAGAACAAAGAATGTATCAACTATTGAAATAGACCAATATCGAAAATCATAATAGGCAGATATGGTAACTGGTACTCACCTTAGAATTTCTTCACACCAGTTCACGCTAATATTTCAAATCACTGAAATAATACTGTTTAGAACAGAGATTTTCTTTTTTCTATGGTGGATTAGGTATTATACACAAAATTTAGAAACTACGGAAATAACCATTTTTTCAGCTCAACAATATTTTTGACATATTGACCTTTCGATCCTTTGATCAGGAATCAGTTCACTGCTCTGATCCAAATCATATACGTATCCAAATATTTATCGGTCGGTAATATGTTTCCTGTAAATATGGATTGTAACCAGGATGAGCTTAGCGAGATTTACCCACGTCAAGTATGTTTATCAAAGGTTTATCAGAGTAGGCGCCATCGAGAAACTTGCAAACGACCTTCAATAGGGAGCAAGCGCACCAGTTAAATTTCTATACATCTCTGATAAAGGTTTGGAGAAGAGAAAGGCTCAAGTTTCGTTGAGCTGAAATCAGTTATGAAAAAACTGTTGCTATGGCAACGATCGTCATGTTAACGAGTAAACAAAAACCCGAATCCCGTGGTGAGGAAATGCGTGGTTGCCAAGTTGTATCGGGTTTAGTTTGGTTGAAATCAGTTATGGAAAAACTATTGCCACGGCAACGATCGTCATGGTGACGAGTAAACAAAAATCCGATTCCCGTGGTGAGGAAATACGTGGTCGCCATGTTGTATCGGAGAAATATTGCTTTATTCATTAATTTAAAAAACACTCTTCAATGCAAATATCCTTCGCGTGAAAAGAATATTCATTACGAGGTATCGCGCAGGATATAGGAAAAGAGACACAGGTACTGGTTGCCTAATACAGATGGAAACATCTCGTTAGGCCCAAATTTCGATCTGCCCACATTTCCATTTGCCTTCATTTCAATTCCATTCCTTTCTTCACGCGCACATTTTGATTCAGCCACAGTCTTCAAACACACACGAACGATGCCTTGCTACCAAATCTGATTGATGTTGGAAAATATATTTCTCCTAAGAAGAAGGTTCATTTTAGCCGAGTTAGGTTAGATTGTTTAGAAAAAGTAGTGTCCTTTTTTATGCAGGAGGGATATTTTCCTTCCTCCCTGAAAAAAGTACCTACTATCTTCTTAGGAAGAAGGTTCATTTAGGTCGAGTATGGTTAGATGGTTCAAAAAAAGTAGTGTTTATGCAGGAGGGATATTTTCCTTCCCATAACTGATTTCAGCTAAACGAAACTTGAACCTCTATATCAACTGAACAGGGAGCAATGCTATTTTCTCCGTTCAGAAGAATGTAAGCAGATTCCTTGATTTTTCCGAAACGTCCAAAGATAAGTAAAAAGTCGATATTTTTTCTATATACCTTTATTTCTCTTCTCCAAACCTTCTTCAATACAAATTGTCACTGAAAAGCTAGTGATTTTTTTTAGGCTCCCTGATAGGAAAATTCTCTAAACGCAGTGACATTTTGGCGCAAATCATCTGATTTGTCCCTTACTACACGTATATTGAAATAATATCGATAATTTTATTTTATACAGGGTGGGCCACCAGTAACGCCTTGGTCTCTAGAAGGCTAACCACTTATCTTCTTGGAATTCTTCCTCTCTAGGAAGTTGCATGTCAACATAGGCTACCATTTGAAATTATTTTGAAACATACAAGATGTCCCCAAAAATCACAAAACATTGAAGTTGAACTTTTTTCAATCGAACACCCTATATATTATTTCATTTTGAGATTCTCCCTGGTGAGCTGATTTCAACAATCCATCATACTTGGGGTCTAGCAGTTATAATTACTGAGATATAGGGTGTGAGAAATCGAGATTTTCCAAGTTCAAGAATTTTTTGTGTCGAAACTATTCATAATTGGTCAAAACGGCTCACATGTCCCTATCTCAACTTTTGATTAACTATCTACTGACATTTAATTGAAACAAATACAGGGTGGTGCAGAATTCAGAATCTTGATCACCCGGTATATGTCCCAATTAAATATCAGTAGATAGATAGTTAATCAAAAGTTGAGATAGGGACATGTAAGCCGTTTTGACCAATTATGAATAGTTTCGACACAAAAAATTCTTGAACTTCGAAAATCTCGATTTCATCAGGGAGAATCTCAAAATGAAATAATATATAGGGTGATCGATAGAAAAAAGTTTAACTTCAGTGTTTTATGGGTTTTGGGGACACCCTGTATGTTTCGAAATAATTTCAAATGGTAGCCTATGTTGACATGCAACTTCCTAGAGAGGAAGAATTCCAAGAAGATAAGTGGTTAGCCTTCTAGAGACCGAGGCGTTACTGGTGGCCCACCCTGTATAGACGAGGAGAGAAAATTCCAAATAATCTGGAATAATAAATGTACCACCTCCTCGATGAACCTACAGACAGTATTTACATTATAACTATCTGAAATAAAGGGAGAAAATGAATTCCTACCTTGGCTTCTCAGCTCGAGAAGATCGACCGCCTTGTCGTCCCCGATATTGTAGGCGCAATACCGCAGACTGGGCGCAATCTCTTCCGCCCTCTGTCTGTAGGCAGTCTGCTTTTCCTCGGGCAGCGTTCCCGCTACCTTCTCGTAGATGACTTGCGCCTTTTTGAGGTTCTCGGCCGCCTTTTGCCACAGCTGCAGCTCGAATTGCAGCGTGCCTTGGATCCAGGCGGCGTACGCTTGCGCTTCGAGCTTGGTGCGCGCGTCGCAACGATCTTGCTGTCGAATGTTATCAGTTTTTCATTATTCCTATTTTTCAGTTGTTTTAGTCACTTTTGTGATATTTTGTAATATTAGTGATTTATATTCTCTTTTCAAATTTTGTTTCTTTTTGTAATTTATGTAATTCTTGTAATTTCTACAGTTTTTGTGATTTTTTCCGTTTTTGAAAATTTTGTAATTGCAATTTGCAATTTTTGCAATTTTGCACAATTTTTTGTAATTTTCAAAATTTTTGATTTTTTTTTTACTTTTTGTAATTTTTGCCATTTTTTGTAATTTTTGTAATTTTTGTAATTTTTGTAATTTTTGTAATTTTTGCAAATTTTGCAATTTTTTGTGAAAATCGCAAAAATTCCTGAAAATTGCAAAAATTGCAAGAATTCCTGAAAATTGCAAAAATTGCAGAAATTGCAAAAATCGCAAAAATTCCTGAAAATTTCTGAAAATTGCAAAAATTCCTGAAAATTGCAAAAATCGCAAAAATGCCTGAAAATTGCAAAAATCGCAAAAATTCCTGAAAATTGCAGAAATTGCAAAAATTCCGGAAAATTGCAAGAATTGCAAAAATTCCTGAAAATTGCAAAAATTGCAAAAATTCCTGGAAATTGCAGATTGCAAAAATTCCTGAAAATTGCAAAAATTGCAAAAACTCATGAAAATTGCGAAAATTGCAGAAATTCCTGAAAATTGCAAAAATCGCAAAAATGCCAGAAAATTGCAAAAATCGCAAAAATTCCTGAGAATTGCAAAATTCGCAAAAATTTCTGAAAATTGCAAAAATTCCTGAAAATTGCAAAAATTGCAAAAATTCCAGAAAATATCAAAAATAGCAAAAATCGCAAAAATTACTGAAAATTGCAGAAATCGCAAAAATGCCTGAAAATTGCAAAAATTGCAAAAATTCCTGAAAATATCAGAAATTGCAAAAATCGCAAAAATGCCTGAAAATTGCAGAAATCGCAAAAATTCCTGAAAATTGCAAAAATTGCAAAAATTCCTGAAAATTGCAAAAATTGCAAAAATTCCTGAAAATTGCAAAAATTCCTGAAAATATCAGAAATTGCAAAAATCGCAAAAATGCCTGAAAATTGCAGAAATCGCAAAAATTCCTGAAAATTGCAAAAATTCCTGAAAATTGCAAAAATTGCAAAAATGCCTGAAAATTGCAAAAATCGCAAAAATGCCTGAAAATTGCAAAAATGCCTGAAAATTGCAAAAATCGTAAAAATTCCTGAAAATTGCAAAAATGCCTGAAAATTGCGAAAATCGCAAAAATGCCTGAAAATTGCAAAAATCGCAAAAATGCCTGAAAATTGCAAAAATGCCTGAAAATTGCAAAAATCGCGAAGATTCCTGAAAATTGCAAGAATTGCAAAAATTCCGGAAGATTGTAAAAATTCCAGAAAATATCAGAAATATCAAAAATTCCTGAAAATTGCAAAAATTCCTGAAAATTGCAAAAATCGCAGAAATTCCTGGAAATTCCAAAAATCGCAAAAATGCCTGAAAATTGCAAAAATCGCAAAAATGCCTGAAAATTGCAAAAATCGCGAAGATTCCTGAAAATTGCAGAAATTCCTGGAAATTGCAAAAATTGCAGAAATTCCTAAAAATTGCAAAAATCGCAACAATGCCTGAAAATTGCAGGAATCGTAAAAATTCCTGAAAATCGCAAAAATTCCTGAAAATTCCAAAAATCGCAAAAATGCCTGAAAATTGCAAAAATCGCAAAAATGCCTGAAAATTGCAAAAATGCCTGAAAATTGCAAAAATCGCGAAGATTCCTGAAAATTGCAAAAATTCCGGAAGATTGTAAAAATTCCAGAAAATATCAGAAATATCAAAAATTCCTGAAAATTGCAAAAATTCCTGAAAATTGCAAAAATCGCAGAAATTCCTGGAAATTGCAAAAATTGCAGAAATTCCTAAAAATTGCAAAAATCGCAACAATGCCTGAAAATTGCAAAAATCGCAAAAATTTCTGAAAATTGCAAAAATTGCAAGAATTCCGGAAAATTGTAAAAATTCCTGAAAATTGTGCAAAAATCGCAAAATTCCTGAAAATTGAAAAAATTGTTAAAATTCCTGAAAATCGCAAAAATTCCTGAAAATTGCAAAAATTCCTGAAAATTGCAGAAATTGCAGAAATTGCAAAAATTGCAAAAATTCCGGAAAATTGTAAAAATTCCTGAAACTTGTGCAAAAATCGAAAAAATTCCTGAAAATTGCAAAAATCGCAAAAATGCCTGAAATTTGCAAAAATCGCAAAAATTCCTGAAAATTGCAGAAATCGTAAAAATTCCTAAAAATCGCAAAAATCGCAGAAATTCCTGATAATTGCAAAAATTCCTGAAAATTGCAAAAATTGCAAAAATTCCTGGAAATTGCAAAAATTGCAAAAATTCCTGTAGATATCAGAAATTGCAAAAATCGCAAAAATTTCTGAAAATGCAAAAATTCCTGAAAATTGCAAATACCGCAAAAATTCCTGAAAATTGCAAAAATTGCAAAAATTCCTGAAAATCGCAAAAATTCCTGAAAATTGCAAAAATTGCAGAAATTGCAAAAATCGCAAAAATTCCTGAAAATTATAAAAATTTCTGAAAATTGCAAAAATTCCTGAAAATTGCAAAAATCGCAAAAATGCCTGAAAATTGCAAAAATCGCAAAAATTCCTGAAAATTGCAGAAATTGCAAAAATTCCTGAAAATTGCAAAAATCGCAAAAATTCCTGAAAATTGCAAAAATCGCAAAAATTCCTGAAAATTGCAAAAATTGCAAAAATTCCTGAAAATTGCAAAAATTGCAAAAATTCCTGAAAATAACAGAAATATCAAAAATCGCAAAAATGACTGAAAATTGCAGAAATCGCAAATATTTCTGAAAATTGCAAAAATCGCAAAAATTCCTGAAAATTGCAAAAATTGAAAAAATATATGAAAATTGCAAAAATTCCTGAAAATTGCAAAAATCGCAGAAATTCCTGAAAATTGCGAAAATTGCAGAAATTCCTGAAAATTGCAAAAATTGCAAAAATTCCTGAAAATATCAGAAATCGCAAAAATTGCAAAAATTCCTGAAAATATCAGAAATATCAAAAATCGCAAAAATGACTGGAAATTGCAGAAATCGCAAAAATTCCTGAAAATTGCAAAAATCGCAAAAATTCCTGAAAATTGGAAAAATTGCAAAAATTCCTGAAAATTGCAAAAATTGCAAAAATTCCTGAAAATATCAGAAATTGCAAAAATTCCTGAAAATATCAGAAATTGCAAAATTCGCAAAAATTCCTGAAAATCGCAAAAATCGCAAAAATTCCTGAAAATTGCAGAAATTGCAAAAATTCCTGAAAATTGCAAAAATCGCAAAAATTCCTGAAAATTGCAAAAATCGCAAAAATTCCTGAAAATTGCAAAAATTGCAAAAATTCCTGAGAATTGCAAAAATTGCAAAAATTCCTGAAAATTGCAAAAATTGCAAAAATTCCTGAAAATATCAGAAATATCAAAAATCGCAAAAATGACTGAAAATTGCAGAAATCGCAAATATTTCTGAAAATTGCAAAAATCGCAAAAATTCCTGAAAATTGCAAAAATTGAAAAAATTTCTGAAAATTGCAAAAATTCCTGAAAATTGCAAAAATCGCAGAAATTCCTGAAAATTGCAAAAATTGCAGAAATTCCTGAAAATTGCAAAAATTGCAAAAATTCCTGAAAATATCAGAAATCGCAAAAATTGCAAAAATTCCTGAAAATATCAGAAATACCAAAAATCGCAAAAATGACTGGAAATTGCAGAAATCGCAAAAATTCCTGAAATTTGCAAAAATCGCAGAAATTCCTGAAAATTGCAAAAATTTCAAAAATTCCTGAAAATTGCAAAAATTGCAAAAATTCCGGGAAATTGCAAGAATTGCAAAAATTTCTGAAAATTGCAAAAATTCCTGAAATTTGCAAAAATTGCAAAAATTCCTGAAAATTGCAAAAATTGCAAAAATTCCTGAAAATATCAGAAATTGCAAAAATCGCAAATATGCCTGAAAATTGCAGAAATCGCAAAAATTTCTGAAAATTGCAAAAATTCCTGAAAATTGCAAAAATTACAAAAATGCCTGAAAATTGCAAATATCGCAAAAATGCCTGAAAATTGCAAAAATCGCAAAAATTCCTGAAAATTGCAAAAATTCCTGAAAATTGCAAAATTCGCAAAAATTCCTGAAAATTGCAAAAATTCCTGAAAATATCAGAAATTGCAAAAATCGCAAAAATGCCTGAAATTTGCGAAAATTCCTGAAAATTGCAAAAATTGCGAAAATTCCTGAAAATTGCAACAATTGCAAAAATTCCGGGAAATTGCAAAAATTGCAAAAATTTCTGAAAATTGCAAAAATTGCAAAAATTCCCGAAAATTGCAAAAATTGCAAAAATTGCAAAAATTCCTGAAAATTGCAAAAATTGCAAAAATTCCTGAAAATATCAGAAATTGCAAAAATGCCTGAAAATTGCAGAAATCGCAAAAATTTCTGAAAATTGCAAAAATTTCTGAAAATTGCAAAAATTGCAAAAATGCCTGAAAATTGCAAATATCGCAAAAATGCCTGAAAATTGCAGAAAT